CAAAGACGCAAAGTATTATGGGGATGTGAAAGTAGAGAATTCCTTATTCATTTGTTTTACTAATAGATTTATTCCTCAAATGAATGAGGAAAAATTGGATCCTTGTATCATTATGATTTCGTATTCAGTCCTAATCCACCAAAATAATTTCCCCACATTTTATTTATCTGGTTATAGGCTGATCTGCAGTACCTGGCTTTTACTCCTGTAACATTTTCTCGAGAGAGATATTAATAAATTATAGAAAAAGCGCCTTGGGCTGCCTGCGTTTTTTTTTGACACCTTACGTGTGAAATTTGACACTTTTAACATGCAATCTGGAAAGAAACATTTATGAATATTTTCATTATCAAGTCACTTCTAGAATATACTGAATACTATGTGAACAAATGTTGTCCAACTGACACCCACTTAAGTATCTTAAGAGTCCTGTAATTATGAGTTTTTCTCTTATAATTCAGTGATCAATGGTTCAGACTTTTGCAATCGTCTCGTACACTTTCTCGCTTATATATTCTTCTCTCGGTCCGTAATCAATGAAAGGTCTCAAACTATCATATACTCTTCTTCAGCTTGTACAAACAAACTGTCGACCAAAAGCTGCGAAACTGTCAAATCCAAGGTCAACTGTAAGACTCCCTGGAGTATCAGATTCTGCCGATACACCTGCAAACAATGTTCCCGAAGTAAGTTACCAGTGATTTTCTAATCCATAATAGTATCGAGGCTAGGATTTACATGGCAATCATATTATCGTAGGGTAGGAAAAGCGCAATGTTGTTTTGCATAAGAGAATGGAATATATTCCTTTGTCAATGAGGAACATAAATATTTTTGCTCTACGAAATGTCTATCCCTTTGTACTAAACTTTGGATCTCTAAATGTAATTTAATTCTCTTATATATTTTAACAGCAACTTGTGCTAACATGTTCCCCCTTGGAATGGAGAGTAAAGCCATCCCTGACTCAAGCATCACAGCCTCTTCTATGTGGGGCAGTATTACGGCACCCTCAAGAGGCAGACTATATATGAAAAAAGTTGGACGATATTGTGGAGGATGGTCTACAAGCTATAACAGCGTCAGCCAGTGGTTTCAGGTCGATTTAGGCGAAGTGACCAAGATCACGGATATTGCCACGCAAGGCCGTGTATCCCCACACTACGACCAGTGGGTGAAGAGCTACAGCCTGCAGTACAGTACGAACGGAAGACGTTTTGCAAACTACCAAAAAGGCAAGGTCTTTAAAGGAAACTCGGACCAGAACACTGTTGTGAAGCATGCTCTTATTCCCCCTATCATCGCACGGTTCATCAGAGTGCGACCCAAGACTTGGCGCATGCACATCTCGATGAGGATGGAGCT